CTCGGAATGCAACAAATCAACCTTTATCAGTGTTCACAAAATTAATCTGCCTAATATTTTCACAAATTTTAATCTTGATCTTCAGCTTGATCTAGAAATTATGACAAAATGAACAAAGGAAATATAGAAAAGTTTATAAAAATGCTGCCCCAAACTTTTGATGGCAAAATTATTATAATGGCATACAACAGATATGAGTGATGTATTCTCAATTAATTTTTTTTATTGCTGGTTAATCCTTCCAGTGATTACAATCGATTAAATCCTCATTTCGTCTGCAAAAATCTGTCAATGACCCCTAAAATCCAGCTTTGGATTTTTTATGGGAAATCTTAAGAACAAAATTCTGAAATAGAATATACAAGACCCTCTAATTAAATAAAGTGAAGCAGCCTCGAGTGATTACATTAATGACAATGCATCGTCTCCATTTGGCTTTACCGGTAGTCAATCTCAATGTAAGTCATAATTCACATGAGCATATACATGTTTATCAAAGGGCTGCATGTATCATCTGTATTTCAATTTCAATACCGTATGTCTGGAAGTGTATAGATATAGTGAGTATAATCAGGCATACAGACAGGAAAACTAGCATGGTACTATAAAAAACAAAATGGTTTCCAGGTAGCCATTAATTTATTTCTGAATCTCAAAAAATCTCATATGCCGTGCACCTGTAATTCAATATACATGATAATGATAGAAACTTTGAATGAAATTAATCTGGTCAGTATAAAACAGTAAACAATGACTACATTGGTCAGAGGGTAATGAAAATAGATGTGCATATGTAAGTTATCATACATGGTCTTTGTGGTAAGTTTGATGAAAGATCTGTCAAAGCATGTCTGAGAAATGGCTCCAGACCAGAACACTGGATAGGCCCCATTTTGATGACCAAAAAAAAAACTACCATAAAAAGGTTATCCCATTTGGCGATTAAACACCATGACCTTTGGTGCAGGCTAGTGGAAAGTGTTATGTATATAAAACAATATGCAAATGCAGCTTTACAGCTTTTTCTTGTATCATTTATACACAATTTTAAATATTCATTCTTTGAAATATTTGTTCGGAATATAATACCACCAGGGTATACATGTATATATTGCCAATATGAATTTGTACTAAAAAATAATCACATGTTGCCTATAGTATCTGATTATTGAATCTCATCTGATTTTAAATTATTTTTAGTAATATGCAAATTAGGATAATTAACTAGCAAAAGCTGTACCAAAATTCATATAAAGTCAAAATTGCTTTCATTTTTTCTATGCATTCAGGAGAATTTTTTTACGTTTTGAAGTATCTGTGATTGAGGGATGTGAAAGTACAACTCACACATTATCAGTAAAAAAACAGTCAGCAATTTCCTTAATCCATGTCATATTATAGGCCTGCCAATCTCCTCTATAACTCAGCATATGTCTCCTACCAATTACCAACACTCGTTTTCTTAATTGTTCAGCAAAATATACAACCACTTGTCTGAGCTGAAAACAATTTAAATATTTTGTTAATTAAATAGTAAATAAAATTCAAGTAAGTCAGTCATTTTGAATCAGAACTTGAAACAAATTACATGATGTATAATGTAGTTGTAAAGTTTGATTGCAATCAGTCAATGTGTGTGAGAGATATGGCTCTAGAACAGCATTTGCATTCGGCCATTTTGAATCAGATCTGAAAAAAAACAGTATAGTCCCATTATATATATCTATATATATGTTCGTTGTATGTACCAAAATGGACAATAGCTGTCCATATAAACCAAGATCTGAGTCTGGAATGGTAGAAATGCTTGATTTTGATGAATTTTAACATTAAAATGGTTGCCATTCCTGATGGTCAAAAAATCAGGACAAGATGTATGATGTATGTTTGAACATGATCAGTCAAGGAATGTCAGAGATATGGCTCTGAAACAGCATTTGTGAAAAATCTGATCAGAAAAACAAAATGACATTCATGAAGATCTTATTATTTATAACAAAATCCATTCATACACTATTGAGATCCAGCACTGGAATCACTGAAATGCTTGATTTTAATGAACTTTAAGTATGAAAATGGCTACCATTCGGCCATCTTGAATCAGATCGTGAAATGAATTGACGTGGGTATGTACCATAAGATGTATGATGTATGTGTCAAGTTTGAATGTGATTGGGATTTGGCCCATGCATGTCTGAAATAGAGGTGGGCATGTACAAATGAACAGCCAGACTAACAAAGGCTCATACTGAGGATATGATGATATCTCCATTTATAAACATAGACAAAAATTACTAGGTAGAAAAAAGTTTAACAATTTTAAAAAGAATATTTAAGTAGTTTGTTGACATTTAGGAAGGGAACAGAGTTAACATAAACAAGACTAAAATAAACACAATTTTTATCAAACATCAGTTACTATTTATAACATATATTCAAATCAAACTTGGTCAATATATATATATATATGAATGAATACATAGTTTCAAGTCAGAGAGAACACAAGAATGGTGAACAATAACGACGATAATTACGCTGATAGAATTTGTGTAACTTCTATACCTTTCATCATTTTCATTTCAGGCTAGACGAATATGTTAAAAATAATGATAAAAAAAAACTGAAATTTACCAACAAATTATTTATTATTATTTTATACAAGTTGTCAAGGATGAATATAACTGTAGCCTCAATACCATAGCAACCATCATTTGTATATTTTTCAAATTCTCATATCTATGGCAATTTAAACAAGACATATACATTGACCAATTTTCTACAGCATTGGCACAAAAAATATATAAAATTTAATGAAATATTTGCTGCCAATAAACTGCTGTCTCTTACCACACACCATATGGCACTGTGTGATATTGTTGTAAAACATGCCATTAGGACAGATACATGAGTGATTAATGGCAGAATTAGAGATTTAGAAATTATGTTTCATGGCAAATAACTCCAGGGATGTGGTGATAAAATTCTGATGAATTCATAGTTGAAAGAAGTAACAAGGAGTAATTGGAAATGAATATCATTGCAACAGACAAGTGTTGATTTCCTTGGTTTCTATGTTTCTTATGTTTCTATGGAGAGGAGGGCGGTATTTAAACAAAAACATCCGTTGTCTTTGTTTTTCATGAGTTTAATTTCATAAAGGCAATTTAGCCAAAATTACAACTAAATTTAACATAGCACAACTATTACAACCTTGCACATCGAGAATCTAGATATTATATTAAGGTAGCGGGACTATTATTTGCATACTTGTTTTCATCTTCTAATTGTGACTATTAAAATGACTACAAATAGACCCGGGAAAGTATATATTTTTAGAATCGCCAGACTTCAAGCTTTTCACAAGTGTATTTTGCATGCCCGTATCTGCATTCTATGACGCGTTATTCAATCAAAGGTGAAAAATTACTTTTTCTGTAAGAAAAATAATTACGCATTTATGCTGGCGGTAAGAAGTATTTTTTTCACTTTTCCTAGTTGTTCAATAGTCCGGTAAATTGAATGTGTCTGGTCAGTTTTATTCAAGCAACGCGTTTTAAAA